TTTAATGGTCGTTTCCTTTCTTGGTTTTTTTTTTGCCTATCACGAGGTAATACTTTGCTATCAGCAAAAAAAGGCCATAAAATATTTTCCCTGATTATCTATTATATTCTGCCATCATGCAATAAGTTGCAATTTACTGTCAGATGTTTTCCAATAGAAAATTTGATCTACTGTTGGATATCAGATTACACGGCCCTGGTTTTTTTCGCGGTAACGCCTGTAAGCGCTGCTTTGATCTTCAATCTAATTTGCTTCGCTAAAAGTGTGTATGCCTTTCGTCATTTACAACAGGTAAATAGACACTACTGAGAAGCCAAGGCTTAAAGGACTTTTTCTGATACTTTTGTTTTATTTTTCACTCAGGCTGCCAACTTCGCAGCATCTAACAGCTCTAAAGCTTCTCTGACTATCATGTCTTTAAATATGACAACAAATGAACAGAAAACCAAAATGTTAAGTGACAGTTATTACTCCAAAAGCCAGAACCAGATTTTGAGTCTGATGATGGTATATGAACTTCATATATACATTGTATCTGATTTATCATCACGGGTTTATTACGAATCAACTTAACGGCATGCTCCCAGTTGGCTTGTTAGCTCAATTGGTAGAGCGCTGAAATAGTATCGCAGAGGTCAGTGGTTCGAATCCCGTACGGGCCTGATTTTATTCAGGTCTGATTTTCGCTATTGCATAAATAGCGCTCGCTACTGCGAGGATCATGCATCACAAATGATGATGGTATAGTTTATACCGAAATATAACTGTCACTTAACATCTTGGTTTTCTGTTCATTTGTTGTCAGATTTAAAGACACGATGAATTTACTTGGTCTATCGTTCATCTTTTATGTTCTCAAATTATCATCTGGTTCTGGCTTTTTTATTACCTTCCGGGCGGATACGATGGCAATATTTAGTGAAGACATAACACTATGGTTTCTGCACTCTTATTATGTTGTCATTCGATATAGCTAATTTACTAAATAATGCTTTACAGGGTTATTCATCACATTGTGTTTTGTAACCCCTAAAAGAGTTCGAGGCCTCTTCAAAGAGAGATTTTCCAATCGAAAAAGTCCTGCAGATAAACCATAAACAAACTCTACTCATTACCATCGTACAATGGAAATCACTGATGTTGAAAGAGTTGAAGGTTGTACTATTGTTGCCAGGGAACAAGTGAGACACACCTCTTACAAAAGATAAATCTTTTCCTAAGAATGGAATGAGACTTTCTGCATTTCTCATGAAGCTGTAACATAGCGGTGTGAGCGAAAAATAACACAGTACAATATTCGTATAATAGCTGTTGGCCCATTACTCAAACGAACTGCTGAAGTGAAAGTGAAGAGCTCACTATTGTCTAGGTAAAGGTAATCAACAACCTTGATATTGAAAGTACAATGTGATCGTATTATCAGTGATTGTATTGTAAATGGCATGAGTATTAGTATCGCGAATTCAACTGCATTGTAAGCACACAGGTTTCTTTTTTTTTGCTGCAGCATGTCTGTTCTGTAATACAGATCATGGATATAAACAATTACTACATGTAAGGCACTGGTGTATGAATGCAAGTCAATTGATCTTATTAACCGCCTCCCGGTCAGCTCAATGGATAGAGAACTGGACTGTTGTGCGGGAGGTCGAGGGTTCGAGCCCCGACC